AGCGGTTCTTCCGCTGCCCACTCACAGCAGGGCAGGATGCTTTTCACACTCTGGCCTCCTATTTCCCATCTCTGGGTTTATCTTGGGAATCGCATCGACACGCCTAACAGTGTGTGGCACGCCCTGGTTGTGAATCACTGGTCTGGGCATTTTGCTGGGTCGCTGTGCTGGGCTCCTCTGCAGCCCCTTTTCTGCAGCTCACAGGATGAGCTGAAGCTGACGGGCTCTCCGTCCCGCTGCACTGGTATCCCGCGGCTGATGGGGCGTTTGAGAAGCAAGTCGGGGTGGGATCTGGAGGGAGGTTCAGGAGCTGGATGCCTCCATCCCCAGTGCAGGGACAGCTTTTTCATTCAAAAAGGCCCTGCTCTTGCTCTGCCTCTTCTGCCTCTCCCGTGGCGGCTGCTGCTCAGCTCCAGGGTTCCCCCTTGTTTCGGCATTAGGCCCTTTTCTCCCTGCCCTCAACTTTGCTGCTTGCACCCTTCCCTTTCCGGGGAGGGAAACTCTGCGATCCGTCCTGGGTCAGGCTGCATCCACCCGTGGCATCCACGTAGTTTGTGCTTGCGTGCATACGATATTGAGCTCGCTCAAACAGGGCACGTCTACACATGTGCTTTAATGCACATTAGCCTATTTTAATGCGCATTAAAACATCACAAAAAACTTTTGCTCTTTAGTTAATGAGCATTAAAATAGGCTAATGCACATTTTTCTAGTACCGCGCAAGGGAGGTACTAAATGTGATGCGCACGACCTAAAGCACATTCATGAACATGCAGACGAGCCCACGGAGCCCTTCCCAGTGCTGCGTGAGGAGCTGATAAGGAGGCACGGATCATCTTCTAAGCCCCAGAAGCACTTGGCCGCTTCTGGAGCCGGTGGACGGGGGGAGTCGGGATTTTGCACGTGCTGCGCTGAGGCCTGATGCAGATCTGGCTTAGTGAGGGATCGGGCTAAATACACGGCGGTAATCTGGCAGCTTGGCTCTATTTTTGTGCCCGAGCCTCGGTCACATCTTGTTTTTCTCTATCCAAGAGCTCTCACCAGTATCGCTTGGCTGAAACCTTTAGTACAGCGGGCCTCTGCCTCCGCCCGTGCTGACCCTGCCAAATTTTTCTCCATTAATTGTTTGATACCTGTGGATCGGGGGCTCCCACTCCCAGGTGTGCATCTCCTCTGCATTAGCCCTTCCTGCTGGAAAGTCCTGGATCCGGGTGCTACCGGGGGCACGCTCACACTGCGGATTGCAAAGAATGGCCTGTCCATATTGCTTTGCACTTTTAGATCGGCCTGGAAATGAAATTTGTCCAGCCCACACCTAGAACACACAGGTGACGTGACCCCGCACCGCCTACCAGGAGCACGCGCACAGGGGAAGCAGAGCTCAGCAACACGGCTGGAACGGGGCTGCTGATATCCAGGCAGCAGGGTAGAAAAGACAAGGGCTAATTAGCTGCTGGGCACTGGTCCTATTTCTAATAAGGCAGAAGGCAGGGGAGATTTGCACCTTACAGACTAACTAAATCAGCAATGCGTAGCGTAAGCTTTCATAAGCAGCAGCTTGCTCGACGCGATGCTGTGAAGGGGCTGCAAGAAGGTGCTCGATAGAAAGCACCTCGGATGCGAGCGGCTGGCGTGGAGGCAGCTGTAGCGGTCAGCTGGTTTCCGATGCGGTGCGGAGGCGATACGGCCACGGCAGACTTTCACGCTGGGGTCCAAGGAGTGAATCGGCTGGCAGGAGTCTCCCAGGGCCGGTCGGATGGAGACGGGGAAGACCTTGCTCCGGACGGACCCCGCTGTGCCTCCTCATCGACCCCCTGGACCAAGGGACGCGGCTTCATTTCTTCTAATATCCTGCAGACCATCGCCTGCTCCGGTGCCCTCTGGACAGAGATGCCGGTGTGCAAGAGCGAACGCACACCCATTTGACACCCATACCGGGAGACAGGCAGCCTCGTAGCTCCTGGACGCTGCTCTGCTGACCTCAGGGGTGCTGTTTGGAGAAAACCAAACGTTAAAAATGAACTTGAAGTGGCAATAGAGGAACCGGAAATCATCCACAGACCCGGACTGCGTTAAGTCTGGTCTAGACGGCGACGAGGGATTCGTATCCCATTACCTGGATTAGCTTTTATAAGGCCTGTGTCCCTCCTTCAGTGGGTTGCTGCTTGGTTTTCTCTCTCCTACCCACCTTGCCTCTCTCAGCCGTGCCCTCTGCTTCTGCACCTCCTTTCCTGCCCTTTCTGCTCTAATCACTGCTTTCTGTTCAGCATCCTGCTTGCGAAAGCTTATGCTACATATCTCTGATTAGTTAGTCTGTAAGGTGCCAATCTACCCTGCCTTCTGCCCGGCTTCAGACTAACGCGGCTAACTAACTCTCCCCACCTGTAAGACATCTGCCAATAAAATGCATGCGGGCAGCGGGTCCTGAAAGCTCAGAGCAGAGCTTGGGGCTTGAATGCGGCGACACCGGAGATGGGCGCATGCAACGCTAGCTGGAAGTCTCTCAAAACTCACGTCTGTTTATCAGTGAAGCGATGAAGCTCGCCGTGTCGGAAATGTGAACTCAAGAAATCAAGCACGGCTGAGATGCTGCAGAACGGAGGTTTGATTATTTAAACATATTTCCAAGCATGCCAATTTACAATTTGCTCCTTAATTACACGAGCTGTGTTTGACATCAGGTTGTTTCCCCCTGTGCAGTGTGCCATCATCGCTCAGCCCAAACCGGTACTTATTTGAAGTGTATTAGGATCCTGTCATTTCCACTCATTTTTTGTTTACCTTTTTTACTGCTTTGATTTATTGAAGCCGTGAAAAAAGCTCTGTTGGCAGGCAAGCAGAGGAGACAGCTTGCTTTTAAGGACGTTGGCTTCATTCTCGGTTAATGATGGATGCCGAAGGACTGGGTGAAAGCATGCGAGGCTCTCTACACTTCGCAGGGCACTAACAGGCCACTTGCCCACGTGTGCAAGGAGGAGGAAATTCTCCTAAAATAGATGTTGGATGAAGGGTTGGATTCAAGGGCACATTGGAAACTCACAAAACTGAAGGCCAGAACAGCCGCTCCGACCGGGGACCTGGGAGCTTCGATAGCACCAGGCAATAAATGCTAAACATTTGGATTTCAGTGCCACGCAGTTATTTCTCCCCATCATACACGACACACCATTTGGCCCGTCAATGTGAAGAGGCCAGGATGGAAAAATGGTCCACAGTCAACCAGGTCAGATTAGCAAGGACAGGTGCGGTGCCCTTGAATAATTGCATACCCAAATACAGACGGGCCAGGTTGCAGGACTGCAGAGCAGGGCCTGGGGCTTACAGTGGACTGGGAGCCGACTAGGAGCCTTGCTGCCAAAAAACCCAACAGCGTCCCGGGTTGTGTGAGCCGGAGCGTGACCGCAATCAAGGGAAGTGATTCTTCTGCTCCGTTCAGCGCCGGCGAGGCCTCCCCCGGAGCGCTGTGCCTAGTTTGGGGCACTTCGAGAAGGACGTGGGCAGCTTGGAAAGAGTCCCAGGGAGAGCAACAAAAATAATCGGTGGCTTGGGAAACGTGACTGGTGAAGAACGGCTGAAAACACCGGGCCTGTTGAGTCTGGAGAAGAGAAGACTGGGGCCAGTATTTGATAACCGTAAGGGCGATGATCGAGGGGATGGAGATGGGGTTTTCTCTGTGGCTGCAGGAGAAAGGACTCGCAGCAATGGCTTCAAGGTGCAGATGGGGAAAGCTGGGGTTGGAGACGAGGAGGCGCTTTCTGGTCAAGCATGGGAGCAGGGCAGCTGCTTAGGGAAATCGGGGAATTTCCATCCTTGGAAGTTGTCGAGTTCAGGTTGGACAGACACTGGCCGGGGCGGGTTAGTCCAGTTGAGCAGGGGGCTGGCTAGGGGCGACCCCGTGAAGTCCCTTCCCGCCCAACGTCCCTACGACCCGCTAAGAAATGAGCATTAGTGCTGGGCAGTCTGGAGGGGCTTTTGCACCTGGCATGGCTCCTGCAACTACAAGTGGGGCAGAAGTCCCCTCTCTTGAGCTCTTCAGCTTGAGAGCAGCTGCTTTTCTGGCAGTCGTAGGTCGGTCCAACCCGGCCGATTAGGCTGAGCGCAGGGTAGCCGGATGAAACTTTGCGGCCTGCGTCATGCAGCTCAGCGTGATCTAATTAATGGTCCAAGAATATATGACGCTAAGTGCAGCAGGCACATAAAATAGGTTGGCTCCGATGGACCTAGACCAGTTCCTTTTCTATCCTACCATTGCTCCCAAAGCAGGGTCTGGCCTTTGGCTTGGCATTGAGGTCTGGTCCCACCAGCCCGTGGCGGTCATAACCTCAGGGTGCCGTGACCTTATTGCAGCCAAACCTGGGAGCATGGCAAGCCACCGCTGCGCCAGCCTTCTCCAGAGCCCGGCAAGCCCGGTAGCAGGCATTTCCACTGATGCTGGTGAGCCGCCACCGACATGCAACAGCCAGACAGTGACAGGAGAAGCATTTAGACACCGATATCAATGCGCCCCGCTTTCCACATCCGTGCCAATGGAGAAGGGTCCCTGCAGAGTTCCCATGAAATGCACAGCCCTTTCTCCCCGTCTGCCGGTGTCCCTGGTTTTTAATTGTCGCGGTAGTCAGGACCCAAGCAATAAGTAGGCGTTTTCCTTGAGGAGCTCCCTTACCTTTCATGGGTCTTCTCTTCTCCTTACCCCTCTCCTGGGCAGTTGAAGAGTGGCATGTGCATGGCAGGGAAGCACAGAGAACGGTCTCTGATTGGGGATTGCATGTTAATTAGCACTTGACTAAGTCACAGCGGATGCACTGTCTCCTAATTGGGATGTTTGAAGAGGAATCATCTTAATGCAGATTTTCTATGTTGGAATTGCACACTTAAAAGCATTTCAGCTCATCTCTCTAATTCAGGGCCCCTCCTGCCTCTCTCCGCAGGTACTTGGTCTTCCTGCAGATCAAACGAGATCTCTACCATGGCCGCCTTCTCTGCAAGACATCGGATGCTGCTTTGTTAGCCGCCTATATCCTTCAAGGTAATGCTTTTTGACAAGATAAATTTGCTTTTCATGCTAAGTACTGATTACATTATTTCACTTACAACAGATCACTGCACCTTGAATACAAATGTCATCTACCCAATGCAGGGCTCATGTTTCAAGATTGTACCCGTGTCATACCAGCCTGGGCTGAAATAGCACGGGAAGCGATGCTGTGATCTAACCTGTACCCGATGCAGATGCTCTCCCATCCGCTCCCGCAGAGTCGTTCTGCCTGGAGTCGGGTCGGCCGTGTCCCTCGGGTTGACCAGAGAGGATCTGGAGAGTCGCACTTGTCTAGTGCAGTGATTCTCAACCGGGCATGGCGGGTGGACCGTGGCATCCTGCAGTGCCTTCAGATCCTTTCAAGGGTGCCTCGCAGTGCTAGCACTGCAAAGTGTGCAAACAAGGTGTGCAAAAAAGGATCGTAGCAGCAGGAGACTCAATATTGATTTGAAAGAAGCTTCACAGGTGATCAGAGATAGAAACCAAATAAAAGGCGCTCTCTGAGGCTGAGACTCCCCGCAGAAGTCCAGCCGCAGCCGTGGGTATCTCAGACCCGCGTCCAGGCGTGTGTCAGCGCACCCGGCAGAGATGGTTGCACTAGTGTGTGATCACGGGTGCTTTTGAGCAAGTTGCTCTGACCTCTTGTCACCTTTTGAACTGGAGTCTTAGGCTCCGGCTACACATTACACATATGAAGCCATTAACTGGTTAAAAGCGCAGTAAATTTAGACTGGCCACACATGCAAAGCGGTTATCCCGCAATGAACGGGTTAAGTGCATAATCAATTTAAACCGGCCACACGTGCAAAGTCATTATCACACGCTAAATATGACTATCCAGCTATGAAAGGAGCCAACTCGCTGTGAAGTTAGTGCTTGAAAATGTGCAACAACTCTGCAGCTGGTTTCTATCCAGTTGTCATCTGATGGTGTGACAGGGCTCTTGGATCTGGGCTGGCCGGTCCAGTCCTCGTTTACCGTCCTCGGTGTCGCCTTCTCCTCTTCCTCCAGCTGCCCTCCCGTCACAGCACAAGACTCCGACTGGTTCGGAAGGGGCGCACCGTCCCCAGGAGAAACGTGACCACGTTTGCACCTTTCGTGTTTCTTGCAACTACAAGTGGGGCGAAAGTCCCCTCCCTTTAGCTTGAGAGCAGCTGGTTTTCTGGAAGACGTAGGTCGGTCGAACCCGAATGATGAGGCTCAGTGCAGGGTAGCTGGATGAAACTTGGTGGCCCGTGTTACGCAGAAGCTGAGAGCGATCTAACGGCCCGTTCCGGCAATAAGAGTAGATGCCATTAAGTGCAGCAGGTCTGGAGCAGCTTCACTTAGCATTCAAAGTGAGATCTCTTTTCACCTCCAAAGCCATAATTCATACTTCACGGCTCTTTCTGCCCCAGCCCATGACTTTGCCGACCTCTGGGAGGGAGCCTTGCTGAAGCAGCAGCTGATTTATGGAGCTTTACATTTTACCGGAGCACAGATGAAATCATCGTTTTGTGTCGCAGCCAAGTGCATTAAGGGACGCGCGGCGTCCACCTCCTGCTCTCTGTCTGCCCCACGCAGACGAGCGCAGCGTCTTAATGAGCCCAGTGACAAAGCCCTGTCCTTCCCGCAGCCGCGTGCCTTTCCGGGATGGGGGTTTAAGGCAGGACAAGGAAAACAGAGTCTGTTCTTTGTAATGCACATCGACTTGTTCTCCTGGTCTAATAAAAGATATCCCCTCTGCCGTGAGCTCTGATTTCATCTGAGAGGGGCGCACAAAGCAGCAGCACCAGAGGTGGAAGCGTGGGTGCATGTCAGTGCAAAGGGGCGTAGGTTGTAGTTGCAGGCAGACAAGGGTCTTTGGGTGAATCCGATATGTTTTATTAGACCAACTTAAATAGTTGGAAAAATAATTTTTTAGCAAGTTTTCGAAACCCGAAAGCTTCCCCAACTATTGAAGTCGGTCTAATGGAAGATATCAGATTCACCCAAAGACCCTTGTCTTTCAGTGCAAAGGTCTTTTAATGCCCTTGTGAGACCTCCAGTGTCAGCCAGACATGCCCCGAGTCTCCTTCCAGGAATGAGCCAAAGGGTGAATGCTTCTCAAGCACCCAAAGCCCAGATCCGCAGTGGTATTTAGGTCCTCGAATAGCCACCTAACTCCCATTGCAATCAGTGGGAGTTGGTTGCTTAAGTAGAAACTGGTGCCTACATTCCCTCCATGGAAATGGGCCTAAGTGACGTAAGCAGCATTTTCAGAAAACAGCTTGGGTGTGGAGGGGCCCCAGTCCCCTTCGCTCACACCAAGGCCAGACTTTCCAAGGTATTTAGTTGCCCAGAGAAAGTACCTTGACCACCTCGCTCCTCCAGACTCAGTCGCTCAGGGGGTTTTAGTGTTTTACCGGGAGAAGAGTCCAGGCAAGAGTGCCGGCCTGCACGGACACGGATAAAGGCACAATTGAATTCAGCCTCCGTACGTTCACCCGCGATACCAACACAGCTCTCCTCTGGCGTGCAAATGAATCTGTGTAAGTGCAGCACAAGGAAAGAGGCCAACCAAACGCCAGTGCTTCGCCCAGGGATTGTGGGCAGAGCAGCCGAACCGAGCCAACAGATAGACCGAAATAAGCCTGGGCAGGCAGTCAGGACGCTCGCTGTTCCTAACACGGGGCAGAGTTTGTTAGCGGGGCTGACTGCAGGGTGGCCGCGGAGGTCCTTAGCCCAGGCTGGCCTGCCTGCGCCGAGTCCCCCACCCCAGGGGCCTGTCTGAGGTTATATTTGAGCTAAAACTAGCTGTGTCTACATATGCGGTTAATGCAGCCGAATAAACTCTAGCGCAGTTTGCACCGGAGTTTATTGCTCCCAGGCTCTGCGTTTGCACGTGCACCTAGGACTGCAGCTGTGGAGCCGGGTCAGAGCAGCCCCGGCTGACAGAGGGCCCGGGGCTCATCCTGCCAGCCCAGGGCTGCTCCGACCCCCGGCCAGCGTGCTGCGGAGGGACGGGTCAGGACTGTGATGGGAACAGGCTGGATGGCACAGGGCAGGTGTCTTGAGGGGGGAAGGGGCTGTAGATCCAATGCCCCCAGAGCCTGATATGGAAATGCAGACCCCAGAGACCTGCCATTCCTCTGCTGCCAGTGCAGGCAAAGCGTGTCTCTGCCTCCTCCATTGCTGATCTACACGAAGGATGACAGCCTACTACTGCTGCCAGTGAGTCCATGGGCTGTAATGGCAGAGCTCTTCTTGGAGGAGCCCTGGCGGGGTCCAGAGGATGCCTCAGGAGGGAATTGCTGTGGTTGCAGTTCATGTCTTTGCAAACCTACAAGCTTACCTGCTGCCGGGGAGGGCAGTAAAAGGACGGGACTTGTGCGCCAAGGCAAGCACTTGGCAGTTGAGACGTGCCCGAATGGAGGCAGTCTGTTCAGTCTCAACCCTGCCCCTTTGCTGCATGTGTTATGCTACCCACGGGACTGGACGAAGGTGGCTGATTTATCCCAGCTCGACTTGACTTGGCAACCTTGACAGCGTCCTTTTATTGTGGGGTTAGGTGTGCAGACACTCCTGCGGCGCACTGTACGCCGACGGCGTTGGAGCAGTCCCGGTTCCAAAGCGTTTCCAGGTTATTTCAGAGCAGCGCTAACAATGCCCATGCACGGCCTGTTCAGTCTGAGCGAGGTTTGAAGCGCATTCGTTAATTAGTTACCGAGTATTGATGTAAGTCCCCCCTTTTAGCTTTTCAAGCAGGAAACAGGCAAACGACCACACCACCTAGGGCCCTCGACCGCGGGAGAGGAAGTGAGGCATGTTCTTCCATCGCAGCAGGGGGAGGCTGCAGAGGCAGCGCCGTTATCAATCCTGAGGAGCCAATACGGAGCTAAAAAGCATGCGGCGCAGGCATGAAATACTGCTGCGCTCAGCAGTCAGAGGCCCATTTTGCCATCCTGTTCCCCTCCCCTTGCTGCAACCCGAGTGAAGCTCAGGTTTAATTGCTGGCTCGTTCCCAGAGAGCAATGGAAGATGCAAGGGGAAGCACCTTTGCACGGGGGGGATGGAGGTGGAAGGAGTCACGTCTATGTCTGCAAACACCTCCGGGCACTTAGGACGTTTCCTGCCGTGGAACGGGGCAGGTTCGGAGTTGTGCTTTAAATCCCAGCTTGGAAAAACTCCAAATCTCAATGCAAAGCAGTTGCAGCAGCCGCGTTTCACGTCAGGGCTGTCATAGCCCCGGAGATACGTCTCGCCGTGGAGCAGCGTTGTCAGCCCAGCTTCTCTCGGCACGGCCTCGGGTTTGCTTGGGAGATTCGTGACCACTGAACTGGTCCGGACCTGGAGACTCCCATGTGGTGTCGTGGTTGGAGGGACCTCAGGAGGTCACATCTAGTCCAACCCCTGCTCCAAGCAGGACCAGCCCCAACTACATCATCCCAGATGATGACTAGCTGGGTCTTAAACACCTCCAAGGATGGAGACTGCACCACCGCTCCGGGTAACCCATCCCAGTGCTTCACCACCCTCCTAATGAGAAAGTTTTTCCTAATATCCAACCTCAACTTCCCTTGCTGCAGCTTGAGCTGCCACCAGACCAGCCCTGCCAGTGGGGCCAGGGGGACCTGCTGAATTTGGGAGCAGTGTTTGCACGAGGGGGATCAAACTGTGACCCTCTGTTTGGGGCAATATGGTGAAATGCCCATGTGGAAATCCTCTCCTGGCAAGAAAGGCCCTCCCCGGGTTATTCACACAGGGGGAATCATCATCATTCATTTCCAGCCAGATCATTTTAGGAACAAAAAGCAAAGGGCCATTTCTGCCAGTGGCAATTTGTAGGTCCCATTGTATATTTTCCATGCGAGCACCAGCGCAGCTGTCGAGTGTGAAGACATCTTTTTTGCCCCCAAAATATATGAAGCATGTGACGGCGATGTGCTTTGAGTTGGGTTTCAGCCCGCAGCGGCCAGTCGTGCTTGTGGGTGACATTAGCATCGCTTTCACGACTAGTCGAGGGAAGCGTCTGTCGTTGCTTTATCCTGTTTAACGTGGAGGAGCAGCAGAAGCCGTCCGAGCCCGGGGAAGTACTCCGGCATCTTCAGGGAAGTTTTTGGCAGGCGAAACGGTGGCAGATGCCGGTTTTATTCGGGATAATGCTTTTGTTGCAGCTGGAGTGACAGTCAGAGGGAGGCGGCACCTCTGTTTTGTCCCAAAGCCAGTCCAGGCAGTGCAGGCGGGTGGACGCTGTAGGAAAAAAATAGCGTGTGTTTAACTTCTCCTCCTGTGTGTCCGCACCTTTCTCGGTGCCCTTTTCAAGCACTCATCCA